CTCTGGCTATATACATTTTCCTCATTTTACAACTGTTGCCTTATGTTATCCCTGCTGCAGGCACAAAAACGACAATAAAATTTAAGTGGACTACACATCATACTATCTCTGGGGAACAACATGTCTATCAGCTACACAGCTCGACCGGTAAACATCTCTCATAAAGAATACAAACGCCATAATACCGTGACTGGAACAATAGACAAATAACCTGCACGTACAGTCTTATGACGACGTTTCGGTCCGACTTGGACCATTAACTAATCACAAACATCTTTACAAGTTTCTTTCTATGTGCGGGCTGTGTAACATCTCTCAAAACCTGTCCTGAAAGGCACACTTCACCATCACTCGCCCATGCGCAAAGACATGAGTGTTTCTCTAATACAAAGATAGCGAATCTGAGATATAAATTAGGAAAAAAGTGACAGTTCAGGCTGACAACATATGCAGCTTTACAAATATATATATAATAGTTCTCTAAGATCTAGACTCCCACTGCATCGGTGAAGTAAATGCGAAGTGACGTGAAAGAAGGGGCTGATGGCTTTAACTTTTTTAGATGGAAAGGCCCTCAAACGGCTTGATGGAGATTTTTCTAAGACTGAGTGAAGGTTCACAGTAGCATTATATTAAATCATATACAAATAAATATATAAATTATATACAAGACTGACAAGGAAAGGACTACAATCCCCTCACTTATTTCTCCAGCCTGAGTGACTGATAACCTCGAATCTACATCTCCACAACCTCTGCTATCTCCTCTAATTCGACTGATGAAGCCGGCTGAGCTGGCGAAATGTCTCGTAAATAAAGACATTAAACTGTTTCTCGTACATCATACTCAAGGTCTTAAGATTAACAGAATGAAAAGCACGGCCAAAAGCTGGAGTTTAACCTCTCAACCATCTGAAGGTTAGTACACACAAACAATGTAAAAATCAATGACTTCCCAGGAATTTAGGAGCCAGCATTCAATAATCTGTGAGGTGCGCTACTAAACGAATCAATAGAGCAACACAGGAGCCTACATGCAGTGTGCACCACCTCGTTTATCATCGTTGCACATCATTGTGCTAAGCGAAACCTTAATTCAGTACGATATATCATCTCAATGTATGAACTATCAATTCAGTATTTACCTTCTTTTGAAAAGCATAAAATTGATACTTGCCCGACGTTCTCTATGGGAAATTTTCTTATTTACGTTGTTTTAGCAAGACTTTACTGACCTTTTCAGTCCTACGTCTTACTTTTTTTTAATACTCAAGTTGCAAATTGATGATTGCAATTCTGATATAACTTGTTTAAACTATTCTGAAATTCTTAATACGTCATTTCTTTTCGATTTTAAAATATTTAAGAAAAAATCCAATGCTATTCTCTAACAGCATTTAATTTCCCAAGGACACATCGGTTATGGTCTTCATGTTCCCCTACTGATCAGTGGACGGAGGATCGAGCTTCCAGCAGTCCGTGAGTCCAATGACCCACATGGGTTTAGCGCTTCACATGAAATAAAATGGCGTTCTTTAGCTTCTGTCCTAAATTCGTCTATCTCGACTGTCTCTAACAGTCTGTTACTGTCTAACAGTCTGTTACTGTCTAACAGTCTCCTCATGACTGTTTTTAATCTTCACTTTCTGGTATATTCTTAATATACTCTGTAAAATACTCGCTCTAACATACCCTTTCGCCAATATACTTTCTCTCCAGTATACTCAAGTGTAAGTAAATATTTTCTCTGGTACTCTCTAATGTACTCTCTAATGTACTCTCTAATGTACTCTCTAATGTACTCTCTAATGTACTCTTCAACTTCAGCTTCTTCACTCAGTAACTTTTCCAGTATCTCAAGTGAGTCGACTCTCTAGAGAGGCTCTTGATCCACCAAATTGGATTTGCTCTTTCCCCGGATTGAACCTCAATGTCACCCATTTCCCCCAGGTTCTGTATGACCCCTTGCGGGCGTAGCGCTCCCTATGAACGCAATAAAATAATTGGGAATTCTGATGGTTTTTCATAGCGAGATTAAAACAAAGCGGCCATTAATTTCTTAGGTGGTAATTAATGAGGCCTATGCAAAAGGGTGGGAAATAGGCCTACTGTTGATAGTCAAGAATACACAAATAAAGAGAATAATGAACTCGAACCGCGGTTCTGGCATACAGGTTGCCCAGTTCAGTACTGCTGAGCCACTAAGATTACGGTTGCAATTTTTTTTAATATACAGTACATCTGTTCTTTGTATCTGCCTAAACTACCGTGACCTCCCTGACTCTTCCCACGACCACAGTGACCCTGTCTCTTCCCACGGCCACAGTGGCCCTGTCTCCTCCCACAGCCACAGTGACCCTACTGTCTCTTCCCACAGCCACAGTGGCCCTACTGTCTCTTCCCACAGCCACGCTGACCCTATGTCTTTTCCCACAGCCACAGTGACCCTGTCTTTTCCCACAGCCACAGTGACCCTTCTGTCTTTTCCCAACAGCCACAGTGACCCTACTGTCTCTTCCCACAGCCACAGTGACCCTACTGTCTCTTCCCACATCTATATTAAATTTCAGGGTAAGTCTGTTAGTATACTCTTCCATAACTGGAGCCTACCTAGAACCTACGTGAAGCCTACCTAGAACCTACCTGGAGCCTACCTGGAATCTTCCTAAAGCCTACCTAGAACCTACGTGGAGCCTACCTGGAATCTACCTAAGGCCTACCTAGAACCTACCTGGAATCTTCCTAAAGTCAACCTAGAACCTACCTGGAGCCTACCTGGAGTCTACCTGGCGCCTAAAGAGGATCTAGGTTGAACCTACCTGGAGCCTAAAAGAGCCTACCTGGAACCTACCTGGAGGGTGTTCCAAAGGTCAACACCCTCCAGGTCCGGTCCCAGACCATGCCTTCCGGTCCAACCGTTGGCGCTAGCAGCACTAAGGCCAACATACGCTCCACAGCCTGGCTGATCGATCACTGACTTGAGAAATCTGTCTAGTAGTTTCTTGAAGACAGTCAAGGCTTAAATAATACACGTGTAACGCCTTAGTTTCAAACCTATGAATGGTTGCCTCTAAAAAATTTCCTTTTGTAAGCTTCGTGGCTCAGTGGTATAGAGTTGGACCTGCTACATACCAGGACTACGGTTCGAATCCACGTCTATTGTTCTGCTTATTTGCTGATAGTCAGTTCATTACGACTACAGCTCAAGGCCGCATTTTAACGTTGTATGTGTAAGCTGGTGAGGTATGATCACGTTTGATCCGAGGAAAGAATAGCTCCAGTTTCTAATATCAAGAACCCTTTAGCATCAAAGAACCTCCCTCTCTTCATTTCTTTGAAGGTAAGCAAGCGGAAGGCTTCGGTCAGATGACCAAAAGCCCCAGCTGCGGGTCATCATATGACAAAGACCCGCGTCAACAAACGCTTGTGCTGTTTCCTGTTACCTAACCCATGGACGGAGGAAGACTATCCATAAGAGGGGCCCTTTTCACAACTTACCATTTGTCTGCACCTAAATTAGCGACTGTTTACTGACAAGACAAAGTTTACACGGTGCTGAGCTTCAGAGGCTTCAACCATAACATCTCATTACCTCGCATCACTTGGGTGATCGTATGTTAGATGTATGTTTTCTGTGAGTACCTGACATTTATCAAATTGTCATTATCCTTATTTCTAAACACGAAACTCGTTCTCTCACAATGTTATTTTATACCTGACAAGGTAAGATTATACATACATACACACACATACATGTGTGTGTATCAGTCACACCCAGTCATACCAGAAAGTGTGATAATCAAGCTAACTTGGCCACCATTCCCTTAACAACAATCCACTCTGGCTACAAAGGCTGTGAACCAGCTACCGGCTGTCTGGAGCCCCAAGGGCATCAGCAATTTATCTCGCTAATGGGAGTATAAGTACTCCCATGCGAAAACAATGGTCAAGAGTATCATGTCTGATGAGGAAGATATGTGGTAGTGTGTTTGATTTGGACTGGATACAAATACAGTTGACGGAATTTTTGACGATAGTCATGTCACTAATGTTACGACTGTCGTGCTGCCACGACAATAGGAGTGAGTGCTTGTGGGCTGGCTGGCCTTAAAAATATTTAACCTTCAAGGCAGTGGGCGCCGGTTGGCACGCCTGGGCACTTATTATCTACTGCTTCCCCATTCCAGCAAAAACGATCACCTTGAACTGTTTTTACCGATTTCATCCTCTTTTCCGCAACACTACAAGCTCCTGATGGTGTTGATTGCAACACGAAAGGCCTAGAGCTATCTTTCAACTCAACCCCCCCCCCCCCCGGTCGTTGTTTTGCATACACCGAGACGTACGTAATAATGCTGGTAGAATATCGACAATATGTTAGGTAAAAGGACACAATTGCAACTAATGTGAGATTTTACTGTGGCAACGTTTCGCTCTCCAGGAGCTTTGTCAAGGTCTTACAGGGACACAGACGGAATATATGACGTGCAAAGCGAAACGTTGCCACAATATAATGTCGTATTAGCTGTAAATATTTCCTTTTATCTAACACCGAGAGAAACGTTTCTCTCAAGGTACATACGCAGAGAATTTAATTTAATTCCTATTTTAAGAATTATAGCATATTATAATCAAGGGGGAGCGCTAAACCCGTAGGATTATACAGCACCTATTGGCGGGAGGATGTGGAAGGTAATCAGGCTTAATTCAGGGAAATGGAACACAGATCCAATTCCCAAGATCAAGAGCCCCTCACCAGCGTCAAGGAACCTTCTCTGAGGGTCGACAGGCTTTAAGCCTTTCAACGACATTTATGTACATATAATATATATATATATATATATATATATATATATATATATATATATATATATATAATATTAATAGACGGTATCCATACCAATTTCAATGGGTCTTTCTTTAAGCAGTGTCATATTTAAGTGTACGAAAGTAACTTACCTGTTAATAGGTACAGCATAACAGAGAACTGGAGGACCTACCTGTTAAGTGATGCAACAGGACAGTAAACAGAAATTTCTTGAAGACGAACATCTTGGTGTGTTGACAAGAGCCTTAATTCACTCCAAGACTCTTCAGACACAAGAGTTTCTAGAGAGATGTAATTGTGTTCACAAGGAAGCGCTAAGCCCGCAAGAGTTGTTCAGCGCCCGGGGAATGGGAGGTAGACAGGTTTGCTATGGCAGAGTTCACAGAGAATAATACATCCACGGGTGACATTGTTTCAAGTCTTTCCCTCGTGTTTTATCCTGGTTGACAGTAATAAGAAAAATATCTCAACCTTCTCTCTCTCTCTCACACGCTATTGTATTGTACTGTATTATTCTTCAACTTGTCGTATTGTATTAAATCATTATACTATTGTATTCCTTTGGACTTGTTTAAACCTTTTAATTTCGCTTCTTTAAAGATCTTTCTTGAATATTTTTTCCCATGTTTTTATTACTGAATAAGAAAATAGATCGTGCGTGTGTTTGAAAAATAAATCGAACACGCAGTTGCAAATTTGGGCAACATTGAACATGCTTTGATTCTCCCGTTTACATCATCAACGTAAAGTCTATTCACTAGTTAAACATAGCGTGGACACGACTCCATCTACAGGTCAGAGAGCGCGGTAAAGACGCTACGGTCATTATATGAGAGATAATCTCAGGAGGAAGGAGCCGAAGTGTGGTGGAGCCGAGCGCGAGTCAGCTCTGTGAGGGGCGCAGCGAGCGACACCAACCACATCCACCTCCCACCACACCTGCCCACACACTGACTCCCAGAGCTCACCCACCGCAACGTTTCTTTTCCTCGAGTCATAGACAAAACAAGCAGTTGGTTAATTAGGTTTAAAACCTATTAAGGTTGAGAGTAACCTATTCACTCCCAATAAAGAATTCTTTAATCTCTAAAATAAGGGCAATAAGTAAACTCTTAGCGCATATACACTGACGACACACACCTCTCGGTGTGTGTTAACAAAGTTAACACACACCTCTCGGTGTGTGTTAACAAAGTTAACACACACCTCTCGGTGTGTGTTAATAAAGTTAACACACACCTCTCGGTGTGTGTTAACAAAGTTAACACACACCTCTCGGTGTGTGTTAACAAAGTTAACACACACCGATATTATTAGATATTATTAAGTTAGTTGAGCATTCAGTGTTAATAAGTTAATAAGTTTCAAGCCTAAAGACCGCATGTAGGTCATTAAGACTGTATGAGGGTCATTAAGACTGTATGAGGGTCATTAAGACTGGATAAGGGTCATTAAGACTGTATGAGGGTCATTAAGACTGTATGAGGGTCATTAAGACTGGATAAGGGTCATTAAGACTGTATGAGGGTCATTAAGACTGTATGAGGGTCATTAAGACTGCATGAGGGCCATTAAGACTGCATGAGGGTCATTAAGACTGTATGAGGGTCATTAAGACTGCATGTAGGTCATTAAGATAGTATGAGGGTCATTAAGACTGTATGAGGGTCATTAAGACTGTATGAGGGTCATTAAGACTGTATGAGGGTCATTAAGACTGCATGAGGGTCATTAAGACTGCATGAGGGTCATTAAGACTGCATGAGGGTCATTAAGACTGCATGAGGGTCATTAAGACTGCATGAGGGTCATTAAGACTGTATGAGGGTCATTAAGACTGTATGAGGGTCATTAAGACTGTATGAGGGTCATTAAGACTGTATGAGGGTCATTAAGACTGTGTGAGGGTCATTAAGACTGTGTGAGGGTCATTAAGACTGTATGAGGGTCATTAAGACTGTATGAGGGTCATTAAGACTGTATGAGGGCCATTAAGACTGTATGAGGGCCATTAAGACTGTATGAGGGCCATTAAGACTGTGTGAGGGTCATTAAGACTGTGTGAGTTTCTTTGAGAAACTCGTGCACAGGAGACTACATTCATTTATAACGGCACAAAACATACTCAACCCCTGCCAATTTGGATTCAGGAAAAATAAAAGCACTAACGATGCAATCATAAAAATGCTAGATCTGCTTTACACAGCATTGGAAAATAAGGAATATCCACTAGGAATTTTTATTGACCTAAGAAAAGCTTTTGACACAGTAGACCACGGCATCCTACTCCACAAACTTGACCATTGTGGTATAAGAGGCCATGCGCTTCCATATTTCAAATCTTACCTTACTAATAGGTATCAGCATGTCACCATTAAAGACAGCATCAACAACACGGCCACTTGATACTGGAGTTCCACAGGGAAGTGTCCTTGGTCCCCTGTTCTTCCTCATATACATCAATGATCTTCCAAACGTATCTCAACATCTGAACCCCATTCTCTTTGCTGACGACACGACTTATGTCATCTCTCACCCTAATCTTGCCACCCTCAACACCATTGTTAATGAGGAGCTGATCAAAATATCGACTTGGATGACAGCCAATAAACTTACGCTTAACACTGACAAAACCTACTACATTATGTTTGGTAGCAGAGCAGGAGATGCGCAAGTTAACATTAAGATCGACAACACTCTAATTGCCAGGCATAATGAGGGCAAATTCCTAGGCCTATACCTCGACAACAACCTGAACTTCACCACCCATATCCAACACATAACCAAAAAAGTATCCAAAACGGTTGGGATCCTCTCCAAGATACGATACTACGTGCCGCAAACTGCCCTTCTCTCACTATACCATTCACTTATATATCCATACCTCACCTATGCTATCTGTGCTTGGGGTTCAACTGCAGCAACACACCTAAAGCCAATAATAACCCAACAAAAAGCCGCAGTAAGAATAAGCACTAAATCCCATCCCTGGCAACACCCCCCCCCCCCACTCTTCATAGATCTAAACTTACTCCCTATTCAGTACATCCACACTTACTACTGAGCAATCTACATCTACAGGACCTTAAATTCCAATATTAACCTTGACCTAAAACACTTTCTTGATAGTTGCGACAGAACCCACAGGCACAACACCAGACACAAACATCTCTATGACATTCCCCGTGTCCGACTAAACCTTTACAAAAATTCAATGTATGTCAAAGGCCCTAAAATCTGGAACACCCTGCCTGAAAATTCTAAAACTGCAGACACATTCATCACCTTCAAAACTACCATCAGAAAACATCTCATCTCTCTGATACACCCTGTCAACTAATTACACGAATACCACCTGGTGGTTAAGCATAGTTTGATTAATGATACTCAGCATGGATTCACAAGAGGCCGGTCTTGTCTAACTAATTTATTAACTTTCTTCAGTAAAGCTTTTGAGGCTGTTGACCACGATAAAGAATTTGATATTATTTACTTAGATTTTAGTAAGGCATTTGATAGAGTTCCGCACCAAAGACTGTTGAAAAAAGTAGCAGCTCATGGCATTGGGGGAAGGGTGCTCTCGTGTATCGAATCATGGCTCACAGACAGGAAGCAGAGAGTGTCCATAAATGGGGTTAAATCCGAGTGGGAATCAGTAACAAGTGGCGTTCCAGAGGGATCAGTCTTGGGCCCGTTGTTGTTTATAATATATATCAATGATCTTGATGAAGGAATTACTAGTGATATGAGCAAATTCGCCGATGACACGAAGATAGGTAGGATAATTGATTCAAACGTAGATGTTAGGGAACTTCAGGAGGATTTAGACAAACTCAACTCTTGGTCAGAAAAGTGGCAGATGCAGTTCAATGTAGATAAATGCAAGGTTCTGAAGCTCGGGAGTGTCCATAACCCTAGCACTTATAAGTTAAATAATGTAGAACTTAGCCATACAGATTGCGAAAAGGACTTGGGGGCTATGGTAAGCAGCAACCTTAAACCAAGACAGCAATGCCTAAGCGTACGTAATAAGGCAAACAGATTACTGGGATTTATATCAAGAAGTGTAAGCAACAGAAGTCCAGAGGTCATACTGCAGCTTTATACATCATTAGTAAGGCCTCACCTAGATTATGCAGCTCAATTCTGGTCTCCATATTACAGAATGGACATAAATTCGTTAGAAAACATTCAGCGTAGGATGACTAAATTAATACATAGCATTAGAAATCTTCCTTATGAAGAAAGATTGAAGACTCTTAAGTTACATTCACTTGTTAGACGAAGAATGAGGGGAGACCTGATCGAAGTGTATAAGTGGAAGATAGGTATTAATAAAGGGGATATTAACAAGGTCTTGAGGATATCTCTCCAAGAGAGAACCCGCAGTAATGGATTTAAATTGGATAAGTTTAGATTTAGAAAGGACATAGGAAAGTATTGGTTTAGAAATAGGGTAGTTGATGAGTGGAACAGTCTACCTAGTTGGGTTATTGAGGCTAGGACTTTGGATAGTTTCAAATTTAGGTTGGATAAGTACATGAGTGGGAGGGGTTGGATTTGAGTGGGACTTACACATCAGAGCTTATTTCTTGGGTAGCATTGAAAATTGGGTTGATCAAATGTTTTGTTAGTGGGATGAAATGTAAAGGACCTGCCTAGTATGGGCCAACAGGCCTCCTGCAGTGTTCCTCCTTTCTTATGTTTTTATGTTCTTATGTTAACACTTACACTCACTCACCCATTTGACCATAAACAGAAATATCAATCTCAATCTCAAAATAATGAATCTTAACTAGTCATAAGTTGGCCTGTGATACTCCAATACTGAAACTATGTATAGTGCCAAAACAAAAGCATTCACATTGCTGAAGAATTGAGACACTTATGCAACACATGGGAATCTTTATTGATGAAACGTTTCGCCACACAGTGGCTTCATCAGTCAAATACAAAGTAGAAATGGGTAAGGAGAGTAGAAGTATGAGGTAATCAGTCCCTCAACCTGGATTCGATGTGTTCAGTCCATCAAGAGTGATGGACTGAACACATCGAATCCAGGTTGAGGGACTGATTACCTCATACTTCTACTCTCCTTACATAAGAACATAAGAAAGGAGGAACACTGCAGCAGGCCTGTTGGCCCATACTAGGCAGGTCCTTTACAATTCATCCCACTAACAAACATTTGACCTTCCCAATTTTCAATGCTACCCAAGAAATAAGCTCTGATGTGCAAGTCCCACTCAAATCCAACCCATCCCACTCATGTATTTATCCAACCTAAATTTGAAACTACCCAAAGTCCTAGCCTCAATAACCCAACTAGGTAGACTGTTCCACTCATCTACTACCCTATTTCCAAACCAATACTTTCCTATGTCCTTTCTAAATCTAAACTTATCTAATTTAAATCCATTACTGCGGGTTCTCTCTTGGAGAGATATTCTCAAGACCTTGTTAATATCCCCTTTATTAATACCTATCTTCCACTTATACACTTCGATCAGGTCTCCCCTCATTCTTCGTCTAACAAGTGAATGTAACTTAAGAGTCTTCAATCTTTCTTCATAAGGAAGATTTCTAATGCTATGTATTAATTTAGTCATCCTACGCTGAATGTTTTCTAACGAATTATGTCCATTCTGTAATATGGAGACCAGAATTGAACTGCATAATCTAGGTGAGGCCTTACTAATGATGTATAAAGCTGCAGAATGACCTCTGGACTTCTGTTGCTTACACTTCTTGATATAAATCCTAGTAATCATATTGCCTTATTACGTACCTTAGGCATTGCTGTCTTGGTTTAAGGTTGCTGCTTACCATAACCCCCAAGTCCTTTTTGCAATCTGTATGGTTAAGTTCTACATTATTAACTTATAAGTGCTAGGGTTATGGACACTCCCGAGCTTCAGAACCTTGCATTTATCTACATTGAA